GTCTAGTTTTAATCTTCGGTAGGTTGAAACCCAATTTTTCCAGCACCATTTATTAAAGAGGCTATCTTTCCGCTAGTGAGGGTGTTTGGCTCCTTTGTCGAAGATGAGATGGCTGAGTGTGTCTGGAATTGTTTCTGCATTTTCTAATCTGTTCTACTGCTCCTCAGGTCTGTTGCTTTGCCAGTACCATGATGTTTTATCACAGTGGCTTTGTAGTATAGTTTCAAATTAGGGGTTGTAATACCATCTGCTGTGTCTCTGTTGCCTAGAATTACTTTTGCTGTTCTGGGTCTCTTCTTTTTTTTTTTTTTTTCTGGTACCGGGGATCAAACTCAGGTCCTTGTGCTTACGCAGCAGGTGGGGAGACCACTGAGCTAAATCCCTGGTCCCTGGGTCTCTTCTTGCTCCAAATGAATTTTTGGATTGTTCTCTCAAGGTGCATGAAGTATGCTTCTGGAATTTCAACTGGGATTGCATTGAATCTATATAGCAGTTTTGGAAGTATGGTCATTTTCATTATGTTGATTTCTTCCTACCCAGGAGCAAGGGATGTCTTTCCAATTTCTCATATTGTCTTCAATTTCTCTTTTCAGACTGCTATAGTTTTCAGAGAAGAGGTCTTTGATTTCTTTTTTTAGGTTGATTCCTAGGTATTGCAGTTTCTTGGATGCTGTTGTGAAAGGAATTGTTTGACCTATTTCTATCTCAGTGAGTCTGTTTTTTGTGTATAGAAAAGCTATTGATTTTTCTGTGTTGATCTTGTATCCAGCTACTTTACTTAATTTGGTTATTATGTCTAGAAGACTTTTGGTGGAGTTCTTGGGTTCTTCTATACAGAGTATCATGTTATCTGCAAATGACGACAGTTTGACTTCTTCATTTCCTATCTTTATTCCTTTTATTTCTTTCTCTTGTCTAATTGCTGTGGCTAATATTTCCAAGACTATTATGAACAGGAGTGCTGACCGTGAACATCCTTGTCTTGTTCCTGATTTTAGTGTGAGGATTTCAGTTTTTGACCATTTAGTATAATATTGCCTGTTGGTTTTTCATAGAAGGCTTTTATCAGATTGAGGTAGAGACCGTCTATTCCAATTTTTTGTAGGGTTTTTATCATGAATGCATGTTGGATTTTGTCAAATTTTTTTGTGTTTCTATGGAGATGATCATATTGTTTTTGTCCTCGGCTCTATTGATATTGTGTATTACATTTTTTGATTTTTATATGTTGAACCATCCCTGCATCACTGGGATGAATCCCACTTGATCAGGGTGTATGATCTTCTTGATGATCTTCTGCATTCTGTTTGCCAGTATCTTA